TCTTGTTTTTTCTAGAATATTTAAACTCAGATTTCTGCATTCTTTCCTCAAAATATTGAGATTAATCTCAACATTTCAGAGGCTTTTGGGATTTTATTAGCAAATTTTCAAACTCATTAATTTTCCAGTTTTTTTTCTGGAAGATTTTGGTCGTCAAACTCAGAGATTTGTTTTGTCTAGAAAAACTTGGCTTAAAACTCAGAGTTTCTTGTTTTCCTGAAAAGTTTTTTTTAGAATCTCAAACTGTCAGAGTTTTTCAGTGCAGAACTTTTTTCTGCAGCTCCTGACGGTCAGCAGACGGAGGAAGCTGGAAGTTTCTTGCCCGGTTCTGGCCCGGTTCTGTTTGGATGTGGACTTGGCCCTAGAGGAGTTGGGATGTCATGATGCGTTCACTGACTGCGTTGGTCGCTTCATTCTCTTCATTCTCTTCATTCTCTTCATTTGCAGCCTGTTGTTTTCGTCCAGGTTGCAGATTTTTGCTCTCGTGTTCAGGAATAAAAGTGGGATGATGCTGATCCGGGTTTCCGGCTGTGATTGTGGAAAACTTTGTGAACATAAAGTGTCTTCAGAAGATGGCGGCGCAGCGTGTTTCCTCCTCAGACTATCTGCTCGTCTCCGTGAAGCTGCTGCGGTCGCACCGTTGGCAGTTTACCCAACACACCTGAAGCCTGAATCCAGGACCCTCGGCGCTCCGTCAGCGACATGTTGAGGCGTTTTCCCCTCGCTCTCCTGTCCAACATGGCCGCCCAGCTATCAGCTGGTTCCGCTGGCTGTTATCAGCTGCAGCCATGCGGTTCTGGTCACTTTATCGGACCACAGAGCTGATGTTCAGATGCTTCAGAGAGGAAAACCACAGAGCTGCTTCCTGAGCGGGGGATTAACATCGCTTGCTCAACGGCTCTGAGGCAGAGGCTGCAGAACCGGTTCCATCAGAACCGGGTTCAGCTTTTGATCAGAAGATAAATTAATCTGATGTAAATTTAAGGGTAAAACTCTGCTGACTTAGCAGCAGACCAGTTTCTAACTCGTCTCTTATGATCAATAATCAGTTATTAAATAATAATATGTTAATAATATGTGATTAATAATGAGATCCAGTTTAAGGTTTTTATTAAACTTTATTTCTGGTTAAAAGTTTATTTTTCAAAACGGAGCGCATCAGTATCTCCAGTTTTCATTTTAAATAAAATCATCTTTGCATCTCCTGCTGAATAAATATAGTTTATTTGATCTGCTTTTAAATGTCGTTAAATTAAAGTTTATCATGTTTAACCCGACAGAACCGTGACTGGACCCGGATCTGGTTCTGTTTGTCTCTCATTTAGCTGAACTGTGAATTTATCTAGTTTAGAAACATTTAGTGTTTCGATTGTTTCTCCTAAACTGGTTGAAATTCAAACAAATTCAAATTATTTATTCCAGTTTAATATGAATTCAGACACATTCAGACCCAAAGGACCGGGCTGAACCGGACCAGGAACCGGGCCCATTACGTCCAACACTTCTGAAGAGTTAAACACTTTCAGTATAAAATATGGTTAACGCTCTAATAATTATGACAAAGAGTTTTATTCACTCTGTTTATTGATTTTTCTGGGTTTTATCTGTTTAATTTTAATACATTTTTATTAAAAGCTCATTTTGTTATGAATCAAACTTTGCTTCATTAAATCTATAAACTGCCTTTCAAACACCAGAAATTTATTTTTTGCAAAATGACATTTAAACTCTTGTAATTTTGTTTAAATAGTCTTTTATAGATTTAACTAATAACACCTAAATATGGATTCATTTACATATTCGCCACTAATGTTTAATCACATCGGCTGCGATTAAATTGATTTTATTTGTTTACGTCATAACTTTGATTCATTTTTAAACTTAAATTACAAACTAAATGATTAAATCACATAATTTAATTTAATTAAACTAGTTAGTTCAAGTTTTCATACTAAATATTAGTTTTATTTCTCCGCATGTTTTTAGTGAACTAAAAAAATCAAATATTTTGAAAGAAATCCATTAAAATTGTTTTCATTTTTAAATATTATATTTCCCTGAATGTTTGAAAAACTTTATCTTAATGATACCAAATAACTTTTAAAAATAAAAGTCTGTCATTAGTTCAACTGTCTGGATGCTAATCCAGTTTGCGAGCTAAATGCTAAATGCTAAATGTTAGGGTCACTGCTGTTCATCTGCAGTTAAACTTAATTTATTTATTAACGTCATTATTAACCTCACCAATCAGAAAATGACTAAAACAGGAATAAAAACGCATGTCGGCTATTTTATATTTAATCTTTCTGAAACCAAAGAAAATTAGCGTAAAACATGGCCGCCAACTTTAACGTTCAAAGATTGAAGGTTTTTTTCTTTAAAACTCAGAAACTTGATTTCATTTGAACGTTTTACTGTTGTTGCATTTTTTTATGCAACAACAGTAAACAGTGTTTACTGTTGTTGCATTTTTTTATGCAACAACAGTAAACACTGAAAACACATTTTCAGTGTTTGGAACCAGGTTTAACACAACTGCTGTTAAAATGTTTTAATTAATTGATAATTGATAGTTTTAATTAAAATCGTTTTTAATCACCGTTAAAATGACGAGGGTCAGATTTGATCAACTAAATTTAATCATTAAAAAGAAATTAAAATGAAAGGAAAATAAATCATTCTTTAAAAACAGTTTATTTTTGGTCATTTTAAAGGTTTGAACCCACTTTGACACATTAACAGTGTTGTAACTTTCTGTAATATGCTTCAAAACTTCAAAACATTTTTCTTGAGCTGCTTTAGTGGTTGAACTTTGAAACATTTTTAGTGATAAATGTGACGCTACGTGGCCTGTAAAATGTAAATGTGTCATATTTCAAGTTTGATACATTAAATGTACAATTTTGTAATTATTTTAAAATTAAAGGGTAAAATATTTGAAAAATATGTAAAAAAGAATGATAAAAAAGGTAAACTGTTCCATAAATGTTTGTTTTGCGATGAAGGAAAGAATAAATTAGTTTGCAGCTGACAGATTTATGGCGTTCATGATCATTTCTGTCTTAATTTGAAAGGTTTGAGCCAACATTGACATTTCTCTCTTTTCTTGTGAAAACATTAAATATCTGTGCTGATGCTAATCTTGTTTGTTAGCTTACATGCTAAAGTTTAAAATAACTTGCTGCCGTTAAACGTCCCGATACATCATGACGACTTCAGGTTTATTTAATCAATTTAAGTTTTAAATATTAAACTTCATGAAGGAAACTTTTTATTTGGTTCTGTAAGAAGAACAACTCAGGATCAAAGATGGCCGCCAGAGGCTTCGCTCATCTTTAGCTTCTTTTTGTTGTCGAAGTTTTGACTGAACAAAGCTCTGCTTTCAGAAAACAGCCAAAACATTTTCTCATATATATATATATCTATATATATCTCTATATATATATCTATATATATAGAGATATATATATATATCAAATTCAATAATAAGAAAGAAAAAATCTTTTTTTAAAGAACTGCTGTATTTTTTTTAGATGTTTTAGCAACTTGTTTTCAGATTGTAAATGGCAGACTAACAGCAGAAACACGCTGGTTTATTTTTAAATTTTCTGAAAATAATTTTCTTATGAAACAAAAACTGAAAATTGAGTTTTTTCATGCTGAACCAACTGCAGACTGCCATCGGTCGCTTTCATTTGGACACAAAACGTCCTAGTCAAATCCAAGCAGCAGTCAGACTGACCTCTGCTCTGAGGTGAGCGGCGTGGCGACGCCTACCTGTGGAGGGCAGCAGGGAGGCGAGGACCAGCAGGCCAGTACCCGGTTCTGGAGCTCCATCTCAGACCAGTGTCCCCAGTCGGTGCAGGTAGTTCACAGCGCTCCGAGTCGTGCAGCGGCAGCAGCGAAGTGAGGCGTCTTCCTCTGCAGCGTGGTGATGAAATGGGACAGGAAGTGGTGAGGAGCTGCTGTGCCAGGTGACACAGCGACACACTTCTCCCCCCCGCACACACACACACACACACACACACACACACCGCCCCGCTCTGCTCACACACGGAAACACCAATTCAGCTGAAACACACACAACGCTTCAGAGATGTTTACCTGCAGTGAGCTTCACTCAGGATCCATCGCTCTGCAGAACAAACCGGCAGCATCATGCTGCGGGCCGGATCAGAACTTCACCACACATTTATATAAAATAACACAAACGCTGATCTGTTTCTGCTAAAAATCTTTATTTTTCTTTCTAAAAATACATCTGATTTTCTTTAAAAAAAGTATGAAAATATATTCTGACAAACACACTGAAATATTGCCTTATTCTGTTTATTAAAAGATAAAACATCAGATCTGAGCCCTTCATGAAAAAGTGGAGACATTTTGTTAAAGATAAAAACACAAACATGATCACAAATTCACATTTAGACGTTTAAAGTGAAGAAATTTAGTCTGAGTCTAAACTAATATTTCCTAATTAATGCTCCACCTTCCTATCGCTATGAACCATGGGAAATGTAGTTACTGCAAGAAAAATGCACAATACCTAATAAATAATATTCAGAAGGACAAAGGTCAACCAGAAGAATCAGTCAGAGAACTTCTTAACACTTTGGTTCATAATAATCCCCAATATTAAAGCAAATATTCAAATAAATCTCTTTAAAGTGCTTCAATGGCGTCTAGGCCAATGTCTCCCCCCAGTGGTGAAAGTTCTGAACTACAACTTCCTAAAATCATTTTTTTTGTTTAAAAAAATATTTTTTATGTTTATTAATGTTTAAATATAATTAATTATTCATGTCTATAGCAACATTTCTGAAAAAGATGAATATTGTTCTGACTTAAAATCTATCATTTTTGATTCAGCAGCCATTTAATTGACTCCAATTCATTAGTTCTGATTGATTGATTAATGAATTGGTCAGAAGAAGAAGTGGAACAATTTGAAGAGAAAGAGAAGAAGAGAACTGGCTGAGGACTTCATCATCATCATCACTCGGGTCAAAGGTTGATTCCTAAACACAAACATAATTTATTACTGATTTTCTGATTGTGGTGGATATTATTATTACAATATTCAGTAATACAATAAATATCACTATCATTAGATGATCAATAGTATTAATATCTCTACTAATGTTATTTTCATAAAACAAATATGAGTAAAATCATATTTTTATTAAATATCATATTATAATATTATATCACAATAAGTTGCACAATTTTTTATTAAACCAACATTAAAGATAGTTTAAATTAAAATGTAATTTTCTTCTAATTTAATTCAAATTTATATTATCTATCCAGTAAGATGTTATATTATATATGATTTATAAACTACTTGTTCTATTTGTATTTATTTATTTGAAATTTAGGTAGCAATATGTTACTATGAACTTTATTATTATATTATGACACTCATTATAGTTAATTGTAGATTGTTAATTTAAAAAAAATCATTTTATTAACACATAATAATTAATTATTTACTGATCATTTTTATCAACATTCTAGAAATTTCTATGTTTTCAAGGTTTATAAAATTGATTTTTTTAATTTAGAAATGTTTTTTCAAAACAACTTCAGCTTCAGGACTACAAACAGCAAATAAAGGACTACAAAGACCAGCAGCTCTCACCCTCAGTGATGCTTCCTGTGGGGCGCCGCCTGGAAATATTCGTCAGGAGAGACGGTCTTCACCCCGCCGAAGTAATCCAGCACCCACACCTGAAACGGGGCAGGGAGGAGGTCTGAGACCGGGCCGGAACAGAACCGGTTCTGCTGGTTCTGGCGGTTCTGGTGGTTTGGTACCTGAGTGATGTTGAACTTGGCAAAGAACCAGTTGTGGTCGGTGGGCCAGTCGATCATCTCTGGGTGTCGGCTGAACAGAGCTTTCTTTGCAAAGTCCGCCTCGGTCCCGTTCACCTGGAACACAGCAGGGTCAGAGGTCATGTGAGCGTCTGTGTTTACCTGGGAACAGGTGAGAGTTGTTACCTGGACGACGGATCCAGACAGGATGATGTGAGCACAGAGCGGGCTCTGAGGGTCAAAGCCCTGCTGCTTGCAATAATCCGTCTGGGCCAGAGACATGGCCAGGGACGCCTGAGGGTTCACCTGGGGGTCAAAGGTCACGCTTTATTAATAACTCATATAGAAGTTACAAATATCTTATAGTGCAATGATAAACAAGCTTTAAAAGGTTTTAAAGTTATAAATATGAATTATTTCAATGCATTTTTGTTTAAATATTAATATTTTAAATATTTTGTAATGATAAAATGAAAATGGCTAATTAACATTTTACAATGTTTAAATGTTTAAAGGTCAGCAGATCTCCAAACTGCTGCGTCACTGTTTACAAAACGTGCTGCGTCATGCCGGAGCCCAACGTCACGTGACGTTTGTTTGTGTAACAGAACCGGGATTTACCTGCAGGTCTTGGACCGACACCTCCATGTGGGTCAGGTACATGTAGGGAACCCGGAGCTGGTTCCGGGAGGCCCGTCGCTCACCGAGAAGACGTTGGAGAACGGCTGACCCTCCACCGGCTTGTGGCTGGAGATGGTGGCCATGGAGGCCCAGTCACACTGGTGGGCGATGAAGCGGGCCACCCGGGCCACCTGGTCATGAGGAGGGATCTGGACCCGGCAGGAGGAGGAGGCGGAACCGAGGGCGGCCCAGGAGAGGCCGAGGAGGAGAGGAGGCCACAGAGCGGAAATCATGGTCGGTCGGTGTCAGCAGGACAGTGGCTCACACAAAGCCGAGGAGCAGAGATAAACAGAACGCTAACTTCCGCTCCTGACTGTCACAATAAAGCCACTTCCCGTTTTCACAATAAGAGCTCTGTACACCCAGAGCCGTAATTTCTAAATAAATATTGAAAGTAGTACATTTTTACATTATTTTATTAATCTCAGGGAGATAAAAAAGTTTAGAAAGTAAAAAAATTATTAAACAACCCTCCAGGTTTTATAAAGTCAAAAAAGGGAAAGAAATTATGAGAACTGAATCAGAAATTTAAGTTCTAAAATAAAATTCTAAGAATCTCAAATTTTCTAAATTTTTATGTTAAATTTATTGTTTTTTACACCCATAATGACCCTGACAAAGTGTCATAAAATTACATCCAGACCTTTAGAAGGTAAATAAATATGAAATGGCCAAAAAAGTGTTTTGCGATGATTTCATGATGCTTCTTTGTTTTCAGTTTCAAAATAAGAGTTTTGATCAAATAAACAAAAAAATGAATAAAATCTACAAACATTTCAAAGTACTTTATGAAAATATTTTTTCAATTGCACAACTTTTTAAATAACAAATAAGCTCAAACAGATTTTACAACATTAACACTTTTAGAATAGGAATCAGTAAGAAGCTGCAGCATAACTCAGTTTTCCTCCGTCGCTCCTGGACCTTCAGCTGCACAGACGTCACACAGCTTCTCCTCCAGGTGGAGCCATCCCTGGCAACCGTTGCTACGGCAGAGACAGGGCACTTCCTGTTCCTGCTCTGAGGTGGAGGTGTGAGCGTCAGAGTAGTTCCAGGTGAGCTCAGTGCCAGCTTTCACCACCCTGAAGGACACAAAACCAATGAAAACACACCTGAGGGTAAAAAAGGGGCGGGGCTTACAGTGACTCCTCCCCTTCACCTGTTGGTGAAGAAGGCGATGACCGGGAAGGCGGGGTCATGGGAGTCCGTGAAGACGTTCTGGATGAACAGGTTGGGCTGGCAGCTGTGCTGTGGGCCGAGATGAGAATAAATACATAAATAAATCAATAAATATATTCAGTAAAAAAATTAGCAAACCAACGGTTTCTTGACTTTCACTTTTTCCTTCCACTCAACTTTCCATGAACATTCCTCCAGACTCACGTTGATGAAGCGTCCGACGTTTCCCTCCTTGCTGGCGTCGATGAAGCAGACTTCCTCTCTCTCTGCTCCTCGTTTGAAACTCGTCGGGCTGCCGTCCTCCTGGATGTCCATCGACACGGCAACCCTCACTTCAGCCAGGCCTCCGTCCTGCAGAACCAGAACCGGAACCATCAGACGTCATGAAGCAGCAGTAACTCACCATGAAAACCATCCTGGACAGAACCAACCTGGTCAGAACCAACCTGGTCAGAACCAACCTGGTCAGAACCAACCTGGTCGTGGTTCTGAGCGGCGCCGCTGGACTCGCCGGGTCTCTGGATCACTGGGACGTGCTGCATGGAGGGGGCGGAGCCTGGCGGAGGGGGCGGGGCCTCCAGCAGGTCGCTGCGCGCCTCCAGGATGGGCGGGGCCAGCCACTCTGTGACGACCTCCACCTCGTCGTCTGACGGCAGCTCGGCCCGGGTCAGCTTGGGGGGCAGCGGCTCCGTGGGGCTGTGGGCCCGCTGCAGAACCACGCCTGTGAACAGAACCACGACTACTAACAGAACCGGACCTGTTAACAGAACCACCACTATTAACAGAACCTATGACTAATGAGAAATTTAATAACTATGAAAATGTCTACTTTAATATTTATATTGTGTACTTGTGCAAAAAACAGAGAATTTTATGAAAACATTTTCAGAATGAAATGAAAATATGTAAAACATCATTTTATTATTTAGATAATCTATAAATACTTCATTATTATCATACTAATATAATGCAAAATAAATGACAATAAAGATTCATAAAAGAATAATTAATACTCAAAAAAAAAATTAAAAAACATGAAGCAAAAATGTATATTTTATGATATTTTAATGATATAATGCTAAAACACCAAAAATATAAATACTTTAAATAAAGGGGAAAAAAGCTACATTTCAATAATTTGTTTGAAATTGAATTAAACTCTGCTCAACATTATTTAACAAAAAGAAAAAAAAACATTCTACCAAACGAATTATTGATTATAAATTGTAAAATATTCACCAGGACTAAAACTGATCAAAATCATCTGGACCTTCAACAAACGACTTTATTGGTTTATATATTTATACTGATTTCCAGCCGACCTGCGTAGATGCAGACGAACGTGCCTCGGTCCAGGTCGTCACGGCAACGGACACCCCAGCCCCGATCCTCGTCTCAAAGACCTGGAGACGAACTCTGACCCCTCTCTGGACCAGCCGGTTCTGGCAGCGGGCCCGGTCGCAGCCGCACCACGGACCGCACTCAAACAGGCTGGAGGAAGAGGAGGGATGATGAAGAGGAGGAGTGATGAAGAAGAGCGATGATGAAGAGGAGTGATGATGAAGAGGAGGAGTGATGAAGAGGAGGAGGGATGATGAAGAGGAGGAGGAGTGATGAAGAGGAGGAGTTATGATGAAAAGAAGGAGTGATGAAGAGGAGGAGTGATGATGAAGATGAGGAGTGATGAAGAAGAGCGATGATGAAGAGGAGGAGGAGTGATGAAGAGGAGGAGTGATGATGAAGAGGAGGAGGAGTGATGATGAAGATGAGGAGTGATGAAGAGGAGTGATGATGAAGAGGAGGAGGAGTGATGAAGAGGAGGAGTGATGATGAAGGGAGGGAAACGTCCTGTTCTCACCCTGACTGGACCGGCTCCAGCAGCCTCTGGTAGCTGTAGCCCCGCCCCCCGGTCGTCATGGCAACACAGGCGCAGTGCAGCGCCTCGCTGCAGCCGTCGCTGCAGTCACAGCAGGCGTCGAACAGCGCGGCGCCGCGGCTCAGGAAGCAGCCGTGCGGCCAGCGGTCCTTCCGGTACCGGAAGCCCGCGGGCCGCCCTCCCCCCTCGCCCAGCACCAGCTCCACGGGAACAGGCTCCGCCCCCCGGCTCAGGTCGTTCTGCGGCTGCGCCGGCAGAGGGGTCGGGTCCAGCTGCACCAGGTGGTTGAAGGTGAAGTAGTCCACCTGCAGAGGGGACAGACCGGGAAAAGACCGGGTCAGAACCACGTCTGAGCGGGTTAGAGCGGGCTCTCAGGCCCGGTTCTGGTTCACCTGCAGGACGTCGTGGCTCTCCGTCGCCGATAGGAAGGACTCGACTTCTTGGAAGTTTCTGAGGCTCTGTCCGCACGGCGTCTTGTAGATGACGTCCCAGTCGCCCCCGGCAACAGCCACGTCCAGGCCGTCCGGGCCGGTTCCGGTCGGGGACACTAGCGGCATGGCGCTCAGCCTCTTGAAGCCGCACAGCAGCGGCACCTTCAGCGGATTCTGGCCGTACAGCTGTGAGCTGGACTGGGGGGTTCTGAGTAACCCGGGCAGGCAGGCCTGGGAACACACAGAGGTCAGAGGTCATCCCGTCACTGGCCCGGTTCTGCTCCTCCTCACCTTGCAGCAGGGGTGAGGGTGGTACTGCAGCTGGACCGGCGCCAGCGGAGGTAGCAGCTCCTCTCTGCCAGCAGGGGGCGACAGTCCGTTGAAGTGAGCTGGCAGCAGCCCTCCTGCAGACACACAGGGTCAGTCAGAACCGGACCAGAACCAACACATTAGTCATACTTTAATGATCCCTAAATGAAGGACGTTGGTAGCACACAATAATAAAAAATACATTAAAAATCAGCCAGATATATTCATTGTGGCGTTCCTCAGGGATCTCTACCTTTTCTTATGGAAGTTAATGACGTCACTACACACCGCATTTTATTTAGGAGAACATATTTACACAAAGTGAAAATGGTTTGCAACAAATTATCTACAAATTTTGGTAAAACAAAATTTTTGAATATTTCCCACAATTACATGTTAAAGGAATCAAGATGCAAAACAAATTAACTTGTTGGCTGTTCTCACAATACAAACCCAATATTTATAGTTATATTGGAACTTCATAAATTTATAACAATATTTTTAAGTTTATGTACAAAGTTCATAGAATAATGTTCAAAACATATTTTTACAGTAGTTGAGTACCTGAACCGATGACCACCTGGACCACGGAGGAGTCCTGGTCCTGGTCCGGAGGAGACCCGAGAGGAACGAGGTCCAGACACTCCAGCAGCCTCTGGGCCTGGACGTACTCTGCAACAGAACCAGCATCACACCAGAACCATGCAGGAAAGTCTGGACCCCGGCCAGGACGGACCAGTACCTTTATCTAGAGCCGTCTTCCTCTGCAGGGCCTGCTTCAGGTGGTCCAGGTACTGGGAGACCCCGGTGAAGACCTGCTCCACGTCCTTCTCCGCCCAGAAGCTTTTCGCCCTCTCTGCAGAACCGAGACCAGCAGTGAGCTGCAGAACACACACTGCGCCCTCTGCTGCTAGCATGTGGGAAGGTCCAGGAGGTGTGCATACTTTCAGAAATGAAAAGCTTTTGATTAAATAAATAAGTCACAGAAATAGATTGAACTGAAGTTCAGATTGCCCTGAAGAACTGTGGCTGACTTGCCCTGACCAATATGGCGGCAACAAGCATCACTCAGACCGAAATCTGTAGTTAGAAATCACAGTTCTGACAGAAAAAAATGAATTATTGTCCAGTTTATACCATGTAATGCCCTACTGTGACCAGTTATCTCCCAGTTTGTGTGGGGCTCCACTGTCTTACCCACATCCCGTGGATCCAACACGTCCCCCATGTCCACGGACAGCTAGCAGCGCTAAGCTAGCTCCAGCTGAGAACACAAAGCCAAACAAACCCAGTTTGTGCTGGTACCGATCCACTCTGACCCAGAGCGCTAACGGCAGATGCAGAGCTGAAACCAAATCATATTATTAGTATTAATCAGCCCTGCAGTGACCGGAAAAACGGTTTAAACTCCAGATTAGCTCCAATTTAACCGAAAACTAACACAACCTGCAGCATGGTTTATGCCTGGAAGCTTCTTGGTTCAAGCGGGCCGCCGTACAATGAGTGGTTGTTTTCCCTGACTTTTGTTTGACAGG